TCACTGCCAGTTTGAGAGCAGCTTGGGCTACATAGTGAGTTCCAGAGCAGCCTGATCCATATAGCAAGACCCACTCTCAAAACAAAAATTTCATTCATTATCTTAGTTTTTGAAAATCAAAATGTATGCCCCATTTAAAAAGGCAAAAGCTACATACAAAATGAGCTGTGGCTTCATTCTTAACTTTATTCACTCAAGTAGTTAAAGCTGTTGGGGATCCCAGTTTTTTCTAGTGACTGGGCCTGCTACCAAGTTGAAAGGAGATAGTGCGTTATTTAATTCATGAACCTCACATGTCTCATATTAACTGATTTTTAGGATCTGGAGAAATAAGAGAATTCACTTTTATTTTTGTTTCTCATTCCCAAGAATGTGTGAGGCTCCAAGTGTAAAACAAAAACCAAATCTTCCCCAAATCTGCCTGTGATATGAAATTTTTTAAATCTCCCTTCAAGTCATTTTACATTATGTTTCTTACCCCAATTTTAGGTGCACAGTAAGCTTGTGAGTGATGTCAGAACTCCTGGGTATACCTAATCTCCACTTAGCCCTGGCACTCTTAGTCTACTCATGTTTAAAAGACATCAGGCCCATTAAATATAATTATAACCATACTGCCTCTGCTTAACAGTAAGTAGAAAAGGATGGAGGCCACAAACTTTAATATTCAGAAGGCCTGGTCTAGGCAGGCTTTTTACTGGCAGACTTGTCCATTTCTGGCTCCAAAGACAGAGAGAAAGAATATTTAGATAGAGTACATTAAGGCCCTTAGCAAGACTGCAGATATTTCATACAGAAAAGAGAGTAATAAGCCATGCTTTCATGTATTTTAAGAGGTAAAAAGAGGACCTTTTGTTGAGGAGAATAAATGATCAGTTGTTGTAAAGTGGGGAGTTTTTACTTAAGTTTGGTATAAGAAGCTTTACTTTCTAACCTCTAAAATTATCAGTCCTGAAATTGAAAACCAGAGATAAGTATGGATTCTTTTCTGAGATTATGAAACAGAGCTAGTCTTGAGGACTTGGATTGGCTCATGTGTCTCATGAAGATGTGTGGTTTAACTAAGTATTTTCTACAGTTCTTTCCTAGCTCTAGATTCCTAATATTGTGTGCTAATCAGCTTTATATCACTATGACAAAACACCTGAGATAAAACAACTTACAAGGAGGAAAATAGATCATGGGTCACGGTCTCTGAAGTCACTGGATCCCCTTGCTTTGGGTCTGTAGAGAGGCAGAATATCATGATGGGGTTTGCTCAAGTACAGCCACCAAGAGCAAAGTCAGAGAAAGAAATCCATGCCCCAGAGTCACTTCCAGGCCATATCTCCCATGACACTTCCTGCCACTAGGCTCAGCCTCCCAAAAATCCAACACCTTCTAATGTCACCACAGCTGGCAACCAAGCCTTCAGCATGTGGACCTTTTGGGTGCATGTGAAATCCGAACCAAAGCCAAATACACAGTCTCCTCTTAAGTCAACTCAAAGACAGGTAATAATCAAGTAAATTGATAAATGAGATGGAATAAATTATGGAAAGCAAATTTGCCATTTACTGCTGCATAGAGGAGATTTACATCTAGGCACCCCTCCAGATAAAAGAGAGAAAGCACCACTTAACTACAGATCCTAAAAGCAAACATCAAGCAGCACAAGCAGGGACAATGACGTGCTACAGTAGAACTTCAGAGAGGTGACCGTAACCCGATAAGCTTCATCAGAAGGGGAACTGAAAACACAGAAGGCAAAGCAGTTTGCTGCAAAGTCACTCACTGCCAGCCCCAAAAAGCATCTGAAGAAACTGACATTTTTCTTTGGTGATTTTCCCATACCAGTGGTGATAAACCTATGGCGCTCACGTTATTGTGTTTTTCTTTTAAGACACAGGATGGTAATGTATGAGCTGTGTTTTCTAAACTAAAATCTCAGTATTCAGGTTTAATTGCAGCGTTGGCACTTTGCGATAAATAAGTAGGTTTCGGGTTGCAGTTTGGGTGTTGGTCTCTAAAAGGTTTGCTACCACTACCCCAAATCTCAGGCTTCCTGGATCTTTCTACTTTCACGTGGTTGTTCAGACATACTCCTAGAAGCAAATACTTCCTGGCTGCCCTTTTCATCATAGAGATATACTGTATACTCTTAGAATTTTCCAGGACTGATGCCTTTAATTCAAAATTTTAGTCCTTTTTCTCAGTGTTTTGAGTTAAATTAATTTACTAATCAATATCAGAGGATGGTATATCCTTACAACTTATGCATCTTTTCCCAAAGTGCTTCAGGGGAGGAGAATTTGAAGTCATTTATTAGAAAGGACATTTTGTTGCCCTTGGAATCCAATCAGTCATGTGTCTGCCTCATCAGTAAGTTTAAAAAATACACATGTTCAAATAGCTTTCTAGTCTCCCATCTACTACATATGAATAGAATATGTATGTAGGTCTAAATATTAAATTAAATCACTCTTTTATACTCTTTTATAATTGACTGTTTTACTATATTTGAGATCCAGAAGAAACTATTGCTTCAAAATAGTCATGTAACCCTTGTGAGGCCTTTTATTATTGTTTAGATAATATTTGGAACAAAAAGAATTACTGAATAAGGCAGAAATATTCAATATAGATACACTTATAAAGACTTCATTCTTCTTGTTCTAATATATCTTAACTCTTAAATATCACATGCAAAAGTCTTCTAAAAAATCAGCAAATGACACCTAATGGTTATATTTCACAGTTTTTAAGGTGAATTCGTGTTAACTCTTTTGACGATTGTAATAGCTCTGTAAGGAAGAACGGATATTATAATCCCTCTGTTATACATGAGAAAGGACCACAGACTATTGAAGACCACCACACAAATCTCATTTGGTTCATTGTTCTTTGGCTGCTGTTTGTCTTTGTGACCTTCAGAGTTATCTCCCCCGAACCATAGCCTTTTCCCTGGGAAAACTATAAGCTTTAAGGATTTTTTGCTGCAAGAATCCATCATTAGTCTAGAAGTTCTGGTTCCCATACACACTGATACGAGCACTGTATATAGCCACAGCCTGTTCAGCCCCTTATCCATAAGGGAAGATAACCATGCAAGGGGATGATATTACTAAGATAATGTAGCTCTGTGAGATGCTACATGCATCTAATATCACTCTGGTGGGGTTTATAACACAGACAGAAGGAAGAGGTCAGTTGAGAAAATAAGGTAATGCCATTTAGTGATTGGGAGGTCTGGTAAGAAACATATCACTAGAGAACACGCTATCTCTTTCTCTGGGTTATGTAAATATAATCCTTAATCTATTATGTGGTCCAGACAAAGGATTTATTTAAACTTTGGTTTGCTTACTCATAGGGATTGAATGTCCATACGGAGCCATAACCATGTAATAGAAGCTCAAATGTTCAGGGCATGTGTCAGGCTGCTGGAAAAGCTTGGGCTTCAGTATTAGATTTATCTGAGTTTGGCTTTGGAATTCATCAGTTCTCAAGTAATAATTTCACAAAAGTCACTTCAGCTCTTGGATACAGACTCTCCTCATCTGTAAAATGACATGTATTTCATGCTCAAGAAACAATAGCTACTATTTCAGGTGTCCAAGTGAGAGTGATGTACGGGAATGAAAGCCACTTAAATGAAGGCTCCTTGCGTGAACTCGACATGGACGAATAAGAGAGGCCTGTGAACTCAGGAAGCTGCTCCCTTGTAGTGTTCAAGGTACTAAAATCGGGCTGCAGCATCCTTTGAACAAGGGGATAAATGAGTTCCAGGACACGGTAGAGAGGTTTGCCACGGTGAGTAAGGCAGTAGTGGAAAATTACTGTAAAATTACCGCAAAACAGAGAAGATCTAGTCATTGTGTTTGCTTACTTGAATTTATTTGTAAACTGTAAGTACATACCATTTGAAACCCCTAGCCAACCAAACATATGCTTATTAATTGACATAATATACTTGAAGATAGTTTGAAAATACTATGGCCTTTTAAATGTAAAATATCAAATTCTGATTGTGTTTTCAGCAGGAATAAATAGCTTAATTGTCTCCCATCAGCTGCAAATTCTCCTGTGTTTCTTTCAATAATGAATATTCTCTGAGCAGGTTCTTTTCTTTTCATGTATTTCTCTAGTTAGAATCCAGAAGTCAAGGACTGTTTTACCCTGGCGTTCTTAAAACAGGTCATTTTCTACAACCTATAATTAGATGTATTATGTTTCCTCTATTCAAACTCTTTTTGTCCTCCCTTGTTGTTTATACCTGCAAAATACCTGACACCAAGTTCTGCCTGGTTACAAATTCATGCCTTGACCTTTCCTGTCCCATTTATATTTCTAGAAGCAGCATTTAAATGCCAGACTAAGTCACCCCACTCAGTAAGTAAATAATGCTTGTGTATTGCAAATCATAGTTCTTCATCAGGAATAATAATGAAGTTTTGCTTTTAACAGGAAATGGAGAATAAAACCTCAACAAATGGATGCAGCCATTCAGAATGGCTCTCAAATGGGCAGTGCTGAAAATTGATCTGGTTTCTTGTCAATTGCATTATTCAGAGATGACATCAGCAGTAAAGCTCTAGCCTCTGCTGGTTTATTGCCCACCCCATGACATAAATAAAAAATCTACTCTCTAAAAAAAAAAACAAAAAGCATCTCTAGGACTGTAATTCGAGCATGGAAACATAATTAAACAACTTTTTAGTAGACTCATTAATAAGCACTGAACCAGATATCATGCAAACACTTGAACACATGACAACCGGTGCTAACAAAACATTTCCCAGCATACCGTTACCCGTGTCACTCTTACAGAAAAGCAGGGTGTTGCATGAGAGAGCCCCTATATTATTTGTTTCTGACTTTGTTTATGATCCATGTTACCAGTTGTTAGAGTACTGCTGACTAAAATTCAGAACTGAAACCTTCCGGCAATGACATACTGTTCGATGGTTTTGAAACCATCCTATTCTGTCCCATCAATCTAAGGACACCACGCTCTTTACCTGGGGGATTATGTTCATTGAGAATCACAAGTGACGCTGGCGTAGGTCTTCTTTTCCTGATCTGTGAACAACAAAGGCCCAGCTAATGTCAGCGACAATCGTACACGGCCTTGATGACAGCTTGCAAAGCAAATACCTTCTCATTTTTTTTCCAACATGCAAAAGTAAATTCCTGGAGAACACACAATATGTCCTTGCCGATTATTGTTAAGAATAAAAAGGCAGACAGTGGCATTGTCAAATATTCCTCTTGCCTTCTTTGATCACAAAATGACATAGCCACAGAAAAGAAATCATTGTATATAATCAAGTGATGCAACTAAAAATTAATATATAGTAAAAATACAGGGATGACTTGCCCATTTTAATGGCTCTCTTGGAACATCATGATACTGGTGATGCTTTTAAGATCCATTATCCTTATCTCTAAATGGGTAAGAGGAACTTGCAAACCTCCAACTTCTAGTATATGTCATCCTCAAATTAGTAGCATGAGAGTTAAATTTCAATTAATATTAGCTTTTAGGTTCTAGTATAAAATTTAGAGCACATATCAGTAAGAATGCATAGGAATCGTATAACAATAGGTAATGTATTTTAAAGTAAGAGGTTTTGTGGTTTTTTTTCTTCTTTAAAAGTTATATAAACTTATTAGATTCAAATCTCTTGCTTCAGATATCCATTATTTTGTTAATATGTTCACTTATAATTAAATCCCTAAAGTATGTGTCAATAGGGCAAAGGCTAAAATGTACCAATGATATCTTGTCCAAGACAGAGGCAATGCTGCTCTTTCAGCAGAGACGAATGTTCAAGGTTGTATTTATCTGGCCTGAGTCTAGGTGCGTCTACTTCAGATCGTCCAAACATCTTATAAAGTAAAGGGTCTCAAATTCAATTACTATTTTAAAAACTTTGTATCAATATTTGGAAAAGGATTCAGGAATAATTTTGGCTTAAGAAATTAATGACTTGGGTTGGTGTTCCCATGAATTCCTTTCCTTCTGGTTCCCTGTAGAATACATTTGCAGTTTTATCACAATTGATCATTTAAGTGGTACCATTGCACTGAATCTAAGAAATCTAAAAATGAAAGGTGATACAGATGCAAGCAATATTAGACACTAAAGAGGAATCTAACTAATGTTGAAATATTATGTATACTGTCCAAATAAACAGCTTTTAAAATTATACATATACTTTCAAATCCTATCTATTAAAGATTACATATATAATTACTGTTTGGGGTATACAGTGAAAGCTATATTAACATATGAAGCCTATAATCTGAAATTATTTGGGGATCTAATGTTTTCATGGCTATATCATTCTTTTTATTTATTAATTAATTAAATAAAATGTTGCTAATTTTGAGATTGCTTTTAAACTTGCTCTAGGTGTTGAACCTGTTGTTTTAACAAAAGCAAACATTTATAGATCCAATTTGGGGTACTAAAATCCACTGTTCCTAATGAATGCTAATTTTCTATGAAACATTGCATTTTAGCCAAAAGTTTCCCACCGTAAACAAAATCCACATTGGAAGCCAACTTATTTCTCATTCACATATCCTGAAAGTTCCAAAGTTAGGCCAGAAAACAGGTTCCTATCACCTGGCATACAGGAATTTCCCCCATGCAATTCTACTTACCTGCTCTGCCGCCTCCGGTGCAATCTGACTCTGGAATAAGGGTACAGCAAACTGTATCTTTTTGGGGCTGTTGGGCTCCATAATAATGACGAGAATTAGTCAAAGGTGGAAAAAGCTCAGAAAGCCTAACCCCAAGTGGTGTCCTTGACGTTCCTTGTGCTCACGCCACCACGCCACACACAGTGCTTTGTAAGAAACAGCTGTAATTCCAGACTGAGCAAGGGAAGGCGCCGAGGTTTGAGTAACTCCCTTCTTCAACATCCACAGCGACGCCTGGCTCGCCTGTTCCCCCACCAGTCCTTTGGATCCTCTCAGCACAATACGGAGAGGAACAATAAGCTAATTGTGTGCCTCTTCACTAATACACATGCCAAGCATTCACTCAGCAGCTAATTGAAAATGCAATGCTAGCCTTGAAGGACCTGCTGCCCTGGGATTTGAAATAAAGGCTCTATCCACTGCACATTACTAACTGGCTGCTCAAAAATGCAGTGCAAGCTCCCTCTGAGGATTGCAGGGATGAAGATTCATTATTGATGAACAGACAGCAGGAAGTTTTTAGAGTTGGGGGAGGGTTTGGGTGTACAATTATTTTATTTCTCTTCTAGTAACTTATAAGTCAGATGCCCTTGCTAGTTCACCCTCAGCCACCAAGAAATGAATGACCACGGAGGTTAAGCGACAACCAATAAAATCAGTGTGCTTCAATATCTTCTTAGGTTGGACTGATGTTTGGAGGCAGAACATCTGTGTTCAGCATTCCTTCAGGCTGGGCAGATGTTTTTCCAGTTCCGTCATCACCATGAACAACTCCTGTGGCCTCAAGCAAATCGTAGGCTGTGTCTAAGCCCTTACACCTTCAACAGAACAATGTGGGAGCTGGAGTCAGTGACCTTCAAGTTCCCACTCTGTTTCAACATTCTAGAATGGGAGTTCACAGTTTTCATTAGAGTGGAAAGTATTGAACAGCTAAATTTAGCAAATAGCTTGAAAGTCATTGCTACCGCAGTGACCTCTATTTTATTTCCTGGTGGAGCCAGTTATAGTCTCTGATGGGAAAACATTAGTGGAAGCCTGATGATGTCCAACACTGTGGCTCCATGTGGGTCAGGAGATGTATGCAAGGAGAGGGATTTGAGGCAAAGCCTGAAAGAGTTAGGCTTCAAAGGACAGAGGATGATGGTCTTATGGCTCATGGGCAGGAAGGAGAAGCGCTGGCCTGATCCCCATATCAATATCAAGCTGGGGGCAGTAGCATCATCAGATGGCCCATTTAAATATTGGCTAATTAGGTATTTACAAATAAAGTTTTCTTCTGTTTTAAAAAGTGTTGATTCTATACCAGGAGTCCATCTTAATGATTTAAGCATGCAGTGTTCAGTTGAAAGAATATGGAAAGTACTATGCATTATTCAAGTACTTTCTATACCCACTAGGGAAAAGCAAAGATGTGGATGCAGAAGCACTTTTAGTTGGAGAACAGTGCTGACCAGCAAGAAATACTGTGATGGGCTCATCCCTGTAGCATCGAAGGGAAGGTTCTAAGTCATAACGTTTTATGTAATAGCTTAAATCTGAAGTATATGATTAAGGAAGTTATCTCTTATTTCTTCAAATTATATAAAATGAGAGTAAGACAATATTTTTAGTGAAGAATGGATATAAAACTTCACTTAGGATAGTAATTAAGCATATGCACTGGGCAGTCTTGAGTTCAAACCCTGACTCTGCTTTTTTAATAAGTTTATCATCTTGGGCAACAAAAGAACTTTTTCTTATGAGGCTTAGATGAGCTAATTACTGAACAGAGATTATGACGTGTATGTCACATAACCACTTGGTAAAAGATAACTATGTATTATTTTTAAACTAGATTTTTCAAAAGATATATATATATATGAATGAATAAGAATCTCTACCTCTTTGAAATAATTTCATATTTTATAATTTCATACCAACTAGAACAATAAGAGAAAAAGTGAAATTCCATATACAGTATGTGCTATGATATAAATACCAATAAAATGATTGTCACTAAGTAATCGCCCTTGTTTGAATAGTTTGGCCAGAGGCAATATCATAAGGGATTTCTAGACCCTTTAAGCTTTCTGTTCTTCTTGAGGCCAACTGTGTATCCTTCAGGACTCAGCTTAGAAGCAGTGCTTCCAGGAAGCCTCTCTGGTTTTACCCTATGCACAAGATTTAGACTCCCCTCGTCTGTTGAGCCAAAGCAGAACAAGCTCTGCTCAGCACAATAGCTACCTGTCTGTCTTTTAATTGTTAACACTTTGCAACTGCACATAAGCACATAGCAAATATTTGTGGAGTATAAACTACAGTCCACCCCTTCACAGGCCTTAGGCTAAGGCACTAGAGGACAGATTGTGTTAAAAGGTGAATGAAGGTGTTTTAAAGCTAAATTGTTAAATTAAAATATCTTAAAACTAAATTGTTATTCCAAGAATCACTGAAAATGTAACCTAAATCTAAAATATTCTAAAACTTTTATGGAGTTTAAATACCACAAAGTGTACAGTTTTATATACACGTGTCAGTGGACATAGGTGTACTAAATACTAGGTGTACATTTTTTTCTACCTATTAGAGGGCATAGTAATAGTAATCACTCACCCTTATATGGTAGTATGTTCCATGTGCTATTCTAATTACCTTGCTTGTATTACTTTAGTTATTACTCACGATATTACCTTGAGGTAGATATTATTAGCATCTTTACCCTAAATTTAATATATTTCACTTTTATTTGGTTATAATTGATATATATTTTTTCCTCATGTGTATATGTGAGTGTGAGTGTGTGTGTGGTACTGGAGATCAAACCCAGAGCCTTGTGTATACTAGGCAAAGTGTCTACCACTGAGCTACATCCACAACCCTCCACCACTAATTTAAAATGAGGAAATTGTGAACCAGAGGGTTTAGGTAATTTGCCCAAGGTCTTCCAGCTATTACTATAAGGCAGAGCCATATTTGCCTACAACCTGGGTTTTTGATCATGAAGCCACTAAGACAGCAACCCTAATACAAAGGCCTATGGAGAAGTCAGTGGAAGCCGCCAGAATCTCTAGAGCAGTTACATGCTCTGATACATGAGCCCCATGGTGCATGAATATAAGGAAGCACATGATTCTAGGACACTGCTGGTCACAGAGATCTTACATTTCAAGCTCAATATCAATACAGACAGAAGAATCTAGTCTTGGACATTATGCTACCAAACAGACTTAGGGGCAGGTTTTCTTCTTTCTCTCTTAAAAAAAAAAAAAACCTAAGTTCTATCCTTAAAGATCAGACACATCTCTGAAATAAGCAGTAACTACAATCTCTGTTTCAGGTAAGTAGCACCATGAGAAAAAGAGAGCAAACATTAGGAAAACAGGTCACGAGTCCATCCTAATTTAGTGTCACGTCTACCTTACCTCACTTTCTATGGTTCCTTGAGGCCATTTAAGACCACCAGCCATTCTGTGGCCTCTCCTTTAGGGTTCTGGGATCCTTTTATCCAAATGAGATTCACCATAAAACTCTATCTACTTAGGAAATGTCCTTATATTCTCCAGACAAGAGGAATCACTCAATTTATCTCCTCTCCCGGTTTGTTACTTTAGACTCATTTCCTGTGTTTTCCTTTTCCTTTCCTTCTACACTGCAAATCCTTCCCCAACCTGTCTTTAAATATAAGCCAAAACAAGAGGTTGGTCATTTATAAGTTGCTAAATAAACCCAATTAGGCTTCATCTTTCTAAAATAGTCAGGAAACATAAAAGGTTCCAAGCAACTGAATTTTCTCAGACTATATATAGCTCATCCTTTTAAGTACTATATTCTTGTATTTTTATACTTAATGAGCACTTTAAATATATTCAGTATTTTCATGTCTTTTAAAAGAGGAAGGAAGTATCAAAACATGCTTTGTCCTTTTTGTACTACTCTCTAGCGCACATACAAATACCATTTTGTGTGCTCTATCAGATACAAAGATGCTCTCTGGAGCTGTTAATAATTCTTGGATACTTTAACTGGTTCCAAATACCACAGATAGATAGTTATTAGGACTGTTTTAGAGTTCTTTTTGTTTATCTGATGAATATCAATAGTCCTTTTAATATGTATTGCTTGTATTGTTTTTGTGTTATTTTGTAAATGTCTGTGTGTCTATTGATATGTTTCCCTTCTTGTATCTTTTTTTTTTTTTTTTTGGTTTTTTTCTGGTACCAGCAATCGAACTCATGACCTTGCGCTTGCCAGGCAGGTGCTGTGGCTCTGAGCTAAATCCCCAGCCCCTCCTTTCTTTCATCTTTAAAATAAAAAAATCTATACCAATACAGAGTCTTTTCAGACTAAACATGCTATATTGCAGTGTTATATTAAGATATAAATTCCCACAGCATTTAAGTATAAAAATGCTTGCCAGCTGATGTATAAAGACTGATATGATTGGTTCATTCACTCAACATTTATTTAATGCCTATTCCATTTCTTAAATTGTTCATTCTTATTTTATGGTTGTATATTCTTACCCTTAATAACAATTTTTACTTTCTGTAAGGTCCCGTATCATTTGGTGCAGTTTATACAATATGTATTAAAATAATCATCACAACGTTACATACGCAGAGATTTTTTTCCTATATAGAGATACTATTTTGCCCAGTGTATAATATCTTTTTCTAGGTTTCGCTCAACTATGTTAAATATTTATTTCTTGTTGAGGCACTTTTATTAACACAGGTCAGAAACCCACTAGGGTTTCCAGCAAGTCCACATCATCCAGGATTTTTCCACCTAAGTTCAAATTAGAGAGAAAAGTTGGGCTGTGTAGACCTGGGGCTCTGACTTTGAGGGAAGCACCGCAGGACTTTGTTTAGCCCTTAGGGGGAAAAGATCTTGGCCATCCCAGGGAGGCCGAGTCATGGGGAAAAGATCAATCACAACCGCTGTGGAGGCGGGAGCCCTAGAGATGTGACAAGGACTGTTAAGATTTGAAGCTCAGGTCTAGCAAAGGTACAGAGGAAACATGAGGCCTGGGATCTCTTCTCATCCCCGCCTAACCCATCCTCTGTTTTATTTGTTTCAGTAACTTTCGTTAATTTCTACAATGGAATTTTAGCACTTCCCTGCCTTTCATTTTGGAAAGACAACTATTAAATTAAATTGGACTTTGTAATTACTGAGTTTACACAAAAATGCATTAGTTTAAAAATGTTTTTATAAAAACTATTCAAGTATCCAATAAATATGGAGTGAGCTTCTTATTCTATGCCAGACTTGAGATATAAAAATAAAAGATAAGATCACACCCTGCAGAGCCCTTACTGTTGAAAGAAGTCACAATGCTACAAAGCCGAGTGCCACCGAGATAGCAGTGCTATAACAGTGTTTCTACAACACGAAAAGGGCTGGTCCATAGGCATTTTGAAATTTGTCTACAGTGTTTTGTTGTTTTACTTGAGATAATGTGTTAAGACACACAAATTAAGAAAAAAAAAAAAACCTTGCTGTGAGTGTAAAAAAAAGATCTTACAGTGATCCTCTGGCAGCAGGATCACAATTTGAAGCCCAGACTGGGTGATTTAGTGACTTAGCAAGACCCTGTCTCAAAATGAAAAAATAAAACTAACAAAGGGCTGGGGACACAGCTCAGCACAATCTTCAGTACCATAATCTCGCAAAGCTAAGCCAGCTTTCACAAGGTCATGATCAACCCCATGAGCGACACATGTTGTATACACTGCACTAAGTGATGAAGAATTGCGCTCCACAAACAAGGCAGTGATTTCTACACACTGCCACACTCCATCACCTCTAACACGTGCCTGCATGCCGTTCACGACCAACTCTCTTCACCGAGTCCCTGAGCTGGGGCCATTCCATGCCGTGCAAAATTAAAACGGGACTTTGTATGAAGCCAACGAGTAGAATTAGAAAGACTTCAACAGGAAAGCATTATAATTTCACATGGTTTTTGAATAGTCACTGTTGCAGGGGAGATAGATTGGAAAGGATCAAGAACATCTGAGGGTGTTCTAAGAATCAACTCAAGAGATGACAAAAGCCTTAACTAAAGTAACAGCAGTGCAAATGAAGAAAGGGCATTGTTGCTCGGTGGAACTGGATGCGGAGAAGGGAAAACAGAGATGTAAGATGGATTCACCTATGGGTTCAGATTTAGCAGCTCAGCATATGGGGATGTCACAGTACGAGGACAAGACGTAGAGAGATATGTCAGTTACTCTAGACTTGGGTTAATACAAATAAGTCATCCATATGGATATATTCCTTATATTTTTCATGATTAAAATGGCTGAAAATTAAATTTAGAATAAAAATAATATCCAATTATTTCATAGAAGCGATATGAGGACTCAGATATAATTCATTAAAAGTACCTAGCATACCCTATCTGCTTGTAACGTACGTATTTTGCAAAAGCAGTTGCAACGATATCTCCCATCCCACGTATGCTTTTGCAGTGGCTCTCACTACTTCCTACTAAGAGGGGAAGCCAAACCTCGGTTCTCTTGAGTCTGGGCTGGCTCTAGTTACTCATCAATTACCAATACAGTACACAGAATGATGTCTCCTGACTACAGAAGTGAGCTCCTACAAGGCCGCAGGAAGTCTGCTTAGTTGCTGTGAAAAACCTCTCTAATCCCTCCGTCTTGGAAGCTCCTGCTCAGAACCAGCGTCACACTGGGAAGGCACCACAGCGACCCGGAGGATGCCTGTTTGCACTGGAGCAGACACCCCAACTCAAGATAGCCTTTGAGTCCTGCTTGCCCAAGTGGCAGGCAACAAGACCTAAAAATCCTCGAGCCTTGTGTTCCCTAGCTATTCAAGCCACCTGCAGCTGACTGAGTCTTCAGAGCTAATTTCCCAGACCTTAAGCTCCAAGTAAAAGCTCTCCTGGCTGCTCTGCCTACCGCTCTCCAGATACTCCCACAAGGGACGCTGTAATAAAAGCCTAGGTTTCATGCAGTGAGAAGCCAAGTCACATGCAGAGGTCACACCCAGCTCTAGTAAACAGCAGACTTAGTCATCACAGGCAGCCCACCAGACACTTGCCTGAGGAAGCATTTCCAGCAGCTTCTTCCCCCGCTGCGTGAGTCACCTCCAGCTGTCTGAGTGTTCTCTCTGATTCCTCAGACCGGAGAGCAGAGACAAGTCATCCTCACTTCACCTGGACTCTCCACCACAGAAACTGTGAACGGAAAAATGGCTGCTGGTTATACCACTACCTTTGGAACATGACTTTCAACACATTAGCATTGTTTTTATAATTGGCATATGTATATATGGCTTTAGAGTGCATAAGGGAGATCAGCTTGATGATAGATGCATAAATATTCGTGTTATTGCCAAATAGACAGTTGAAGACATGGGAATAGATAAATTCACTCAAGGAAATTTATAGGCTGTGAAGAGAAGGCGGTATAGAGTTCTGAGAAACCCAAACTTTATGGGTGGAAAGAGGGGACAAAATGGAAACAACATAGTAAGAGGATTAGGGAGGTAAGGAGAGAACTGTAGCAGGGAAGTCAAGGTTGAGTCAAATTTCTTTAGGAAGGCTGTGATCAGCACTATCAACATTGCAGGGAATATAATTACAGATATTAAAATGTATCTATTGAACTCTCAAGGGTTAGCAAGACAGTGTCACGGAGGTAAGTGAGGAAAAAAATCAGACTAGTGCTTTAAAAAGAAAAAACTTGACAGTTCAACGCGAGTGTTCTTAAGAGGCTGGACCTCAACGTACAGAACCATAGCAGGAGCAGAGCGGAGATTTTCAGTTTGCTATGTAGATGAACAAGACTTAGATATAGACGAGGACACAAAGAAAGAGTTAGGGGAGGTGTAGGTTAAAAATAGCCAAGAAAGAGTGGGGAGAAACTGAGAATTTATAAATAATAAATATATTTTGAATGTTTATGTTTAACTTTATTCATTTTTTTAATTTTTTATTTTATGTAAAAATATAATTTTAAATTGAGGAGAATAAAATGTAGTCAGTTTATTTCAGATTATGCAGCTATTTTCTGTACTAGAATTACTGCTCGGGATGTCTGAATAAAAGACCAGTATTCCTCCTAGGAGGCCATGGGTGCACTTCTTTTTCTTAACAGTACAAAAACACAAGTGAAAATGCAATCCATTTAAAAAGGTCTTCACATTTCAGCAATGTTTGATATAATGGGATAAGATGATTACATTTAGTTTGGATGTAAACTAATTACATTTAGTTTGGATCCAGAAAAGCTTCTAAAAATCTCATGCTTGGTTGCCTGTTTTCAAATAATTTTCAAAAATTTTACCCAAATTTTATACAAATACTGTACTTACTATTAAGTACAATAAAGGAAAAAAGGGGAGCAGATCATTAGATAACTCAGACTGTTAGACACATTGAGAGAGAGACAAAAACGTATACATCAGGAAAAGAAAAACTTTATAAATATTTTGATACTAAATTTATTGAGACATCATGAGATTAATATAAGTTACCTTTGGCCTCTACAATTACAAGAGGTGCTGAAGGTGGTGGCGAGCAGCTTCCAGACATTCCAGGCTATTTTTTCCTGAGACTCTTTCACACTGAGGTGACACAGGTTAAAGGAAGTCCCTCTGGGCCTTCTTGGATGTTAAGCTGAAGGTGGACTCTGAATAATCTCTCATCCTCTACTCTGCACCATGGCCATAAAATGCAACATACAGAGTCTGCCAAAAATATGTATTCACATTTCAGCAGTTAAATACTTCTTGTTACCTTCAAAATAGTTGCTCAGATTACCAGATGTAGGTATGCAAGACTGATCAAACAATTAAACAGTAACTGTTTCTTTCAATGAACCAATAGAAATTGGAAGTACAACTATCTTAGCTATCTTGTGTGTGTGTGTGTGTGTACATATATACATATACACTATATATATATACACATTTACACTATATATATATATATATATATATATATATATACACACATTTCCCTTCCTTCTTTCTTTTCTCCTTTCCCTCATTCCAGTTGTTCTTTCCTGTTGAGCAGTTTCTTTTCCTTTCCCAATATCTATTGCACCCTTCAGTTTTATTTACTTTTTCAGGTTCTTATACTAGGGAGATAATATGGTATTTACACACGCGGGTCTGATTTGTTTCACTTATGAGTATGGTCTCTAGTTGCATCCATTTACCTACAAAAGCCTCGAGTTTATCTATCTTTATAGCTGAGTCATACTCCATGGTATTTTTATACCACATTTTTCTTATCCACTACTCAGTTGATGGGCATTTGGGTTGTTTCCAAGTTTTTGCTAGGACAAATTGTGCTGCTATAAACATGGGTGTACATATATCGCTGAGGTATATGATGTTATTTTTAAATTAATTTTATTGATACTCTTTTGATACACATAATGGTCACATTCATCACAGAGAATTTGTACCTGTACATGATAGATCTGATTCTTCTTTTTACCCCCATTCCTTCCCATCCCTTCAACCCTCCTTGCCCTCCTTATTTACAAAAGCTTTCTTTCCATTTTTTTCCTTCTACTCTCCTTTCTCCTCTTCCATTCCTTCCTTCTCCCCCTCCCTTGTTCCCCTGGCCCTTTGAACATTTTCTTCCTACTTCCAAATATCTATCATCAATTTTTGTCCTTATTTATGCTTTTGATTTCTCACATAAGAGAAACAATGCAATATTTAAACATGTATGCATCTATTTACCTACATATGTTTCAAGTCTATCCTTCTTTATGGCAGAGTAATACTCTATTGTGTGTGTGTGTGTGTGTGTGTGTGTGTGTGTGTATACACATCACATCGTCTTTATCCATTCAGCCATTGATGGGCTTCAGGGCTATTTCCAAGATTTAGCTGTTACAAATTGTGCTGCTACAAACACGAGTGTGTATATACTGCTGTGGTATACTGCTTTGAACTCTTTTGGGAAGGTACCAGAAAGTGGACATACATGAATTTAAATCAACTCTGGGTACTGTATTGGTTCCAGTTTTCTTTCCTTAATGACTTTTTTGCTATCCCGTCTAGCTCTAGAAATACTCCAAGGTACCATATTTTTTTTTCTCTCTTTTTTTTTATTTTAAAGATAAAAGGAGGGAAACATTAACAGACATACAACATTTTACAACATATCACAAGCACAATACAGACAATACA